TAGGTTGTTTCCATATCTTGGCTATTGTGAATAATGCTTCAATGAATATGAAAGAGTAGATATCTCTTCAAGATACTGATTTAATTTCTTTCACATATATACTCAAGAGTGAGATTGCTGAATCATATGGTAATTCTATTTTTAATTCTTTGAGGAACCTCCATACCATTTTCCATAATGGCTGCACCAATTTACATTCCCACCAACAATACACAAGGGTTCCCTTTTCTTCACAACTTCACCAACATTTGCTATCTTTTGTCTTTTTGATAATAATCATTCTAACAAATGTGAGGTGATATCTCATTGGGGTTTTGATTTGCATTTCCCTGATGATTAGTGATGTTGAGCACCTTTTCATGTACCTATTGGCTATTTGAATGTTTCTTTGGGAAAATATCTATTAAGGTCCTTTGTCCATTTTTTAAAAATATATTTTATTGATTTTTTACAGAGAGGAAGGGAGAGGGATAGAGAGTTAGAAACATTGATGAGAGAGAAACATCGATCAGCTGCCTCCTGCACACTCCCTACTGGGGATGTACCCGCAACCAAGGTACATGCCCTTGACCGGAATCGAACCTGAGACCTTTCAGTCCACAGGCCGACGCTCTATCCACTGAGCCAAACCGGTTAGGGCTTTAAATTAGATTATTTGCTTTTATTGCTATTGAGTTCTAGGAATTCTTTTGGATATTAACCCCTTATCAGATATATGGTTTGCAAATATTTTCTCAAATTCTGTAGGTTGCCTTGTCAGTTTATTAATTGTTTCCTTTGCTGTGCAGAAGCTCTTTAGTTTGATGTAGTCCCACTTATTTAATTTAGCTTTTGTTGCCTGAGCTTTTGGTGTCTTATCCAAGAAATCATTGCCAAGACCAATGTCAAGACTCTTTTTCCATATGTTTTCTTCTAGTAGTTTTATGGTTTCAGGCTTTACATTTAAATCTTTGATCCATTTTGAGTTAATTTTCGTGAGTGATCTAAGACAGGGGTCCAGTTTCATTTTTGTGCACATGGGTATCCAGTTTTCCCAGCACCCTTTATTAAAAAGACTGTTCTTTCTCCATTGTGTGCTCATTGACCATATATGCATGGGATTATGCCTGGGCTTGTTATTCTGTTCCATTAGTCTATGTGTTTTTTTGTTATGTCAGTACCATGCTACTTTGATTAGTACAGCTTTGTAATATAGCTTGAAAACAGGAAGTGTGATGCCTCCAGCTTTGTTCTTCTTTCTCAAGATTGCCTTGGCTATTCGGAGTCTTTTGTGGTTCCATACATATTTTTGGATAGTTTTTTTTTCTATGTCTGTGAAAAATACCATTGGAATTTTGAGAGGAATTTCACTGAATCTATAAATCACTTTGGGTAGTATGGACATTTTCACAATATTAATTCTTCCAATCCAAGAACACGGTATAGCTTTCCATTTTTGTGTATCTTCTTTAATTTCTTTCATCAATGTCTTATAGTGTTCAGTGTCTTTCGCTTCCTTGGTTAAATTTATCCCTAAGTATTTTATTGTTTCTGATGCTATTAAAAATGGGATTGTCTTATTAAATTCTTTTTCAGATAGTTTGTTGTTAGTGTATAGAAACACAAATAACTTTTGTTGATTTTATATCCTGCAACTTTACTGAATTTATTTATTAATTCTATCAGCCTTTGGGTGGAATTGGGTTTTCTGTATATAAGATCGTGTCATTGCAAACAGAGATCATTTTACTTCTCCCTTTCTAATTTGGATGCCTTTTATTTCTTTTTCTTGCCTAATTGCTATGGCTAGAATGTTCTCCTTTTCTTATAAGGATACCAGTCATTGGATTTAGGGCCCACCCTAACCCAGTATGACAGTGGTTCTCAACCTTCCTAATGCTGCGACCCTTTAATACAGTTCCTCATGTTGTGGTGACCCCCAATTTCATTGTTACAAATTGAACATAATTAAAGCATAGTGATTAATCACAAAAACAATATGTAATTATATATGTGTTTTCCGATGGTCTTAGGCGACCCCTGTGAAAGGGTCGTTCGACCCCCAAAGGTGTCGCGACCCACAGGTTGAGAACCGCTGCAATATGACTTCTTCTAAACTTAACTAATCACATCGGCAAACACCCTATTTCCAAATAAGATCACATTTATAGTTCCTGGGGATTAGGACTCCAGCATAGTTCTTTGAGGACACAATCCAATCTGCAACAAAGAGAATCCAGACAACCAAAAATGAGTATACGCTGTATGAATCTTATATTTATTCTGGGACTTCATTTCTTCATGGAATAGTATATAGTTAAGACTGACCCATACTGTGCTTCACTTGTTTTAACTGTTGTGTCATATTCTACCAGGTCATTGCACCACAGTTGTACCATCTGCTCTCATATAGATGGCCTCTGGGTGTGTCCCGGCGTCTGCTAAAATGAACATTCGGGTAAGTGGCTCTTGCTGCATGCGTGCAAGGGTTGCTCTAGAGCAGGGTGGGGAACTCCCAGCCTGCGGGCCATAGAAGGCCCATGAAATCATTTGGCCTGGCCCTGCCAAGGCATTAAGGGTGAGTTTATTAAATGTTTGACCAAATATAGCAGGCTAATTCTTAAGTTGATAATTTTGTATGGCCAGTGAATAATGTTATAAATATCCAAATTTTCCTTGACAGAAAAAGGTTCCCTACCCCTGCTCTAGAGTGTTTACCTAGATGTGGAATCACTGGGACTCAGAATATGTGAATGTTCACCTTTAGGAGATAATAGCAAGCTGCTTTCCAAAGGGGCTGTACTAATTACACTGCCACCAACAACCTGTAAGATCCATGCCCTCTCCTTTATTTGGTATAATTAAATTTTAAAATGTTTGCCAGTTGAATGTAAAATTATTATTGGTAGAGATCTTAATCTGCACTTACTTGATCATAATGATGCTGAACAACTTTCTCAACCCTAATGTCTAAATTGTATTCACCTATATTTTCTGAAGCTTTGCTTTTGACATTTAAGTTCATAATCTGCCATCTTTCCCAACATTAAGGTCTAAAAGATATTTACCTATACTTTCCACTAAAGATTTTAAAGTGTTGTTTTTTTATTTGTTTGTTTGGGCATGTAAGTTCTTAATCTGGAGTTGATATTTGTGTAATGAGTGATTGGTTGTATAATCTTAGGAGTTTTTATAGGGGACAAATATATTTTGAGGATGGTGGGACAGGATAATTGACTAGAACTCTTAGTGTACTGGAAGTTGCTCATTGGATTTGAGTTTAAATCCTCAATGGACTGTCTAAGATCTTAACTTTATCTCTGAGAGCCTCAGTTTTCTCATCTGTAAAATGGGAATTATACTAGATACTGCCTTGGGTTGCCATGAGGATTACATGAAATAAGTTATGCAGAATGCTTCCCGCATCGCCAGATCCACAGCATAAGAACACTAACTAGCATTTACACTTACTATGTGCCAGGTGATGTGCTAAGCACTTTACATATGTTATTAACTCAACCCCTGACAACAGTGTGAAGTAGATGGAATTTTCTACACTTTACAGATGCATCTCATATAGGATGAATAGGTCCCTCACCCATCACCACCACACATCAAAACCATTTCCCTCCCCTTCCTCCGTCTTCCAGAATCCAGTCCCCTGGGCTGGGGGGAGAAATGGCTGCTTCTCCAGGAGGAAGGGTTTGGAAATTGAAAAGGGGGGAGTGGTAGGCAGTGGGGTTGACCCCCAATTCCCTCGTGGGCCCTGCCTTTGACTCTGAGGCTGGAGCGAGGCTGGGAAGGAAAGGAGGATGTTGGTCTGGTGGGGAAGTCCATCCATCCTCCCCCTCCACAGGTAGTTGGCCAGGCACTGTGGAGATGAATCACTGGCCACAATAGTTCCTTCCCCTACCCCCCCTGGTGTCATCCATTATTCACAGCTGCCATCCTGGGCCTGAGGTTGCTTTGTGGTCAGGCAGGCATTATTCCCTAGGCCCAGCTCTCAGGGGCTTTTATCCACAGCTGAGCCTGAACACAAGCAACCCTCTTCTCTAGATCTGAGGGCTGTGGCTTCCCACTGGAGGGCGACTCGGACAAAGGGCTTTGAGCTGCATTGGAGCCCAGCTCTGCCACTTCCCAGTTACCTTCTCTGAGCCTCAATGTCCTTATCTATAAAATGGGAATAACTGGCCTTGCCTTGCTAAAAGATTTAGAAATAACCCACATAAGAGACATGAGTAGCCCAAGTGGCCTTGATCATGGAGTCGCTGTTGTTACATTTGCTCTTTCAATGATTGTCTCCCAAGGCCCTGCTGGGAATATGGAGATTGTGTGACCCCTCAGCGCGTTTGTAGCCCCCTGGGAGAGACAGACCCCCTGCAAAAATGGCTTTTAATAAGACAATATATCCCCCCATAAAAGCGGGTTAAAGGTGATTATTCGTGGAACAACTTTTTATTGAACACCTACTATGTGCCCAGCCACCTGCAGTGGTGATCAGGTCAGTCTGGCATCCATAACACCTACAGTCTCAGGTCCCCGGGAAAAACAGAGACCTCCCAGGATCAGGCTGGTGCACGGGTGGTGGGCAGAGGACTCCCCAGGTCTGCCCATGGCTGGGGTGGAGGCTCATGCACCCCCATGCCAGAAACTGAACAAAGCTCCTATCTCTTTTTTGCCTGTTAGAAGGCCCTGACGAAGGGCAGGGGTAAGAGTGGAGCCCCTGGAATCACAGACCCGAGTTTGAATTATGGCCTGTATTCGTTTCTGTTGCTGCATAACAAATTACCCCAACACTTAGCAGACACTGATTTTTCTTATAGATTCTGTTGGTCAGCAATTCAGAAGCAGCTCAGCTGGGTGGTTCTGGTTCAGGGTCTGTCGTGCAATTGCATTCAAGATGCCAGCCAGAGCTGCAGTCACATGAAGGCTTGGCAGGCTGGAGGGTCTACGCCCACGAGGCTCACTCACATGGCTATAGGCAGGAGGCCTCAGTTCTTCACTACGAGGGCCTCTCCAACAAGTGGCACAGCACAGTAGTTGGCTTCCCCTTGCCTGAGCGGGTCTACATAGAGAGCAAGAAGAATGCCTTTCATGACCTAGTCACAGAAGTCATCATCTGTCACTGTACCATATTCTGTTCATTAGAAGTGGGTCACTAAGTCTAGTCCACATTCAAGGTGAGACTCCACTTTTTAAAAAATATGTGTTTATTGACTTCAGAGAGAGGAGAGGGGAGAAAGAGAGAGATAGAAACCATCAATGAAGAGAGAGAATCATTGATCAGCTGCCTCCTGCACACTCCCGACTGGGGATTGAGCCCACAACCCGGGCATGTTCCCTGACCGAAATTGAACTGTAACCTTCTGGTTCATGGGTCGACAAGGTGCCTTGTTGGAGAGACCTGCATGGCAAGGAACCAAATGCTGCCAACATCTACTGAGTGAGCTTGGAAGCAGATCCTTTCCCCATTACCCTGCAGGCAAGACCACCGCCCCGCCAGCACCTAGATTGCAGCTGGTGTGGGACCCTGAGCTGGAGGAAGTCAGCCCAGATTCCTGCCTCACAGAAACTGAGATAACAAGTATTTGTTGTTTTAAGTCACTAAGTTTGGTGGTAATTCATTATGCAGCAAATAGATAACTAATAGGATGGATATTGGCAGAAGGGGAAGAGACAGGCTAGGGGGATAGAGGGACCTACTAGGTGGGAGTAATCTAGAGTCTACATTAAAAGATATTTAAGACCTGACTGGTATGGCTGAGATTGAGTGTCAAACCAGGAAGCTGTTGGTTCAGTTCCCGGTCAGGGCACATGCCTGAGTTGTGGCCTAGGTCCTTAGTGTGGGGCATGCAGGAGGCAGCCCTGATCAACGATGTTCCTCTCTCATCGATGTTTCTATCTCTCTATCCCTCTTCCTTCCCGTCTCTCTAAAAAAAAAAATCAATAAAGACATATTTTTTTAAAAAGACATTTAAAGAACATATAACCCGATTTTAATGTGAGACCTTGTTTGGATCCTGAATTGAAAATGTTAACTCTTTGTTTGTTTTTAAAGTTGACCTTTGGGAAATGTAAACCCCAAGGGGACCCTGCTATTATTCACTTTTATTTGGGGTGCTAATGGTATTGTGGCTATGTTTTAATAAAGAGGCTTTATCTTTTAGAGAAACATATTGAACTACTTACAGCCACAGTGATATGCTGTTGGGGATTTGCTTTAAAATCAGCAGGGCGGGGAGGGTTACGTGCGGAACAGAGTGATTGGCCGTGAGCTGATGGTTGTTGAGGGGAGGGGCTGTGTGCCTGAAGGCTCCCTTTACTATTCTCTCTGCTTTTGTATATGTTTGAAAATTTCCAGAGTAGGAAGTTAAAAACAAATGGAGTGAGCCCAGTGTGCTATTTTACAGATGGACAAAGCAAACCCAGCAGCAGGCAGGAGGGCTAGAGGGAGCAGGGGCCTTAGCTCATTGACAGTGAAGTCCCTGAGCAGCCCTGTTTTGTTCATCCTGGGAAAGGGGCTTGTGCGGGGACCTTGGGGGGACTGCTTCCCTGACTGAGCCTGGGGTGTGAAGAGGAATCCCTCCTGTCATCTGAGAGTCACAGCTTTTGGGCTGTTCCTTGCTGACACAGTCATCCGTCTGAGGGCACCTGGTGGCCCACTGTTATGTCCATACATGTAAGAAGCATCTCTTAGTATATGATGCAACTGTTATCTTGTCTTAATATATCGCCATCACAATGGGGTGTGTTTATTATACTCCATTGTAGACCTCTTATTTTTAAAGGAGATACTCATTCCTGGCAAATCAAAGGGAATACAGCGAAAAGCCAGTCTCCCTCCCTCCTTTTCTCCAGTCACTTCTCAAGGACAGCTATTTAATTTATTTATTCAACATATATTTGTTGAGCACCTACTATGCACCAGGCACCATGCTAGGCTATGATGTCCAATAGAAATATGACACAAGCCAGGAGCCGTATCTAAAAAGTAAAAAGAAACAAAAAATAAATTTTAATAATATATTTCTTTAACCCAGCTTATCCAAATCCAGCATATGGAACCAATATAAAAATTATTAATGAGATACTAATGATTTTTTATAGTGTACTAGTTTGCTAGGATGGCCACAACAAAATACCACAGACTGGGCTTAAACAACAGATGCTAATTTTCTCACAGTTCTGGAGGCCATAGTCCAAGATCAAGGTGGGCAGTGCTGATTTCTCCTGAGGCCTCTCTCCTTGGCTTACAGATGGCTACCTTCTTGCTCTGTCCTCACATGGTCTTATCTCTGTGTGTATGTCCTGGTTCCTCTCCCTGTGTCCTAATCTTTTCTTATCAGGACACTGGTCAGGTTGGATTAGGGCCCACACAAATGGCCTGATTTTACCTTATTCACCTCTGTAAAGGCCCTGTCTCCAAATACAGTCCTATTCTGAGGAACTAGGGGTTAGGG